ATCATTTAACTTCACTTGGAGTGAAGTCACTATTACCAACCCGGCAGCAACAGGCCAGAGTTGAGGAGTTAGCGGGATGGGACTACTTTTAGTTTACAGCGTCCTCCCAACCTCAGCCTTTACAGATGCTGTTAATTTGGTTCCTGTTTCCCTGTAGTCCTTTATGTGGTTGTGTAATAAAAAGTTCTCCAAGCTGGCTCAATGTCTTTGCTATTAGAACATTGCAGATGTGTCAAGGATGCACTTGTTCCAAATGAAGCAGAGAAGGAAGGAGGCCCCGCCCTCCTCTGCCTGCCAAATCGGCCCCTTAGGTTCCTCATTGAACGCCCTGGCCCCTTGAATGGCGTGCTATTCCTTTAAAGCAACTAGTTTTGTGTATTGGCTTGGTCAATTTGTTATGGTTTAAGACTGTGGAGCCAGCTGTCTGCAATCTGATGTAATGTTGCTATGGAAACTAGAAATGAAACACTTAAGCATTCACCACAGAATTACTACATATAGCATTAGCCAAAATAATTAAAAGTTGAGCCATATGGGCTTTCTGGTGGAAAAATCTGCAGCAGCAAAGCTGGAAAGGAGTTATGTTTCTATTTACAGTGCTGTAAATCCATTTTTTCTCATCACTTAGCATAGGCAAGTTGTTCTTTGAGGAGACAAGAAGTAGAGGATAAAGCTGAACTTTTCACAGTTTAGGAACAATGGAACAATGGCAAAATTCATGGTAATTTAGTAACTACTTTCATTTTGTCAAGTGGTTATGTTACAGAATATGCCTTGACCTCTAACAGTTACAGTTGCAGTTTTGAAATTGACATGTGAATATGTCATAGGTATGTATTATGTATATGTAATAGGCATGTGTACGTATTTACATATAACTATTTAAGCATTGTTCTTTTCCAACTCTTGTGAAACCTTTCCAACAGGAAGCTATTCATTACCTTTCACAGATTTTCTTTCATTCCCTAAAAAGTTACTTTGCACAGGTTTTTCCTGTCTGTGGTCATATATTTCCCAAATTAGGAGACAATGGGAAGTAAACACTATTTTTGAGAATAGATGTTAAGTCTTCCTGGCAAATGCCCATTTTGAAGCAATTAGGGTAGCATGGTGGCACAGTGGATAGAGCTCCCAGGAGGACTGTCTTCCTGAGTTCAACTCTGACCTCAGATACTTACTATCTGTGTGACCCACAGGAAATGATTTAACCCTGTTTGCCTTAGTTTCCTCATCTGTAAAATGGGTTGGTAAAAAAATGGCAAATCACTCTAGGATCTGCCAAGAAAACCCCAAATGAGGTCACAAAGAATTGGACATGACTGAAAAATGACTGAACAGCATGGATTTTGGATATATACTTATCTCTTCAATGGAAAAAGTCACCTGTAGTCTTAACTTGCACAGAGACCTGGTCTTAGCTATCTTTGTATGCACTTCAGTGCTAGGTGGAGGGCTTTTGAACGCAGTAGGTATTTAATAAATGCTTATAGGATTGGCTTAATATTGAAACTGCTGGGGAGATCACTTTCTTTTCTTCCTTTGTTTTTCTTTTTTTCTCTTCTTTTCTTCCTGTCTTTCTGCAAAGGCAACTTCTAAAATTGTTGTTTGTTTTTTTTAAATCAAGCATTCATTCTCTGAGACTAATTTTTTTTTTCACTGAGGAGGAAGTGAGAAGTCATCACCTTCCCAGTAAAGAGCATCCCTCAGATTTATTTTGGAGCCAAAGTGACTTGTAAGCTGTCAAGAGAGACCTTTCCAGAAATAAGCCTCTCTCTCTCTCTCTCTCTCTCTCTCTCTCTCTCTCTCTCTCTCTCTCTCTCTCTCTCTCTCTCTCTCTCTCTCTCTCTCTCTCTCTCATCTCTCTCTCTCTCTCTCTCTCTCATCTCTCTCTCTCTCTCTCTCTCTCTCTCTCTCTCTCTCTCTCCTCTCTTCTCTCTCTCTCTCTCTCTCTCTCTCTCTCTCCTCTCTCTCTCTCTCTCTCTCTCTCTCTCTCTCTCTCTCTCTCTCTCTCTCTCCCCATTCCCCCCCCCCCAAATAACTTTGCTTTCATTTAGCATTTTTAATCTCTTGGCTAGCAGGATAGCTGCTCCACAATGAGCATTTCCAGCTGGGTCTATCTTGTCTAGTTTCCTACAGAAAGTTCTTGACTACCTTCAGTTAAGAGTTGCTGTGCCATACACCTCCAGAAACCTTCTTTCTCTAAGAAAGTAAAAATAGCATTGGTTCAAAGTCCTAAAGAGCTCAAGTTTCTCAAAAATAGATGGAGCATGTGGAAGCAATTAACAAGTACCTGGAATATATTATTTTCCAACAAAAAGAAGCTGGGCGTAGGAAACTAGGCCCTCAGAACAGCCATTGCCATTCAATCTGTTGTCATGGTTTAACTACATTTGATTTCTCCTCTGGAGGCTTTGCAGAGATGGCATGCCATTCTAGCAGATGCTTTGCGTCAAGAACCAAAGATTGTTTCTATAACTTTCTACATCCTATTGCTTTTTGCCTTTGTTGCTTCACCTTCCCAAAACCTAGATCACAGGTAGTCTCACATCAGTAAGCACCTTGAATTATCAGTAACTATCTTGGCTTGAAACAAACTATAACTATTGCCAATTCATTTAAAATAGATGTGACAAACTTACTTCGCTTGTTTATCCCACCTCTCTCTCTCTCTCATCTCTCTGTCTCTCTCTCTCTGTCTCTCTCTCTCTCTCTCTCTCTCTCTCTCTCTCTCTCTCTCTCCCTCTCTCTCCCTCTCTCTCCCTCTCTCTCCCTCTCTCTCCCTCTCTCTCTCTCTCTCTCTCTCTCTCTCTCTCTCTCTCTCTCTCTCTCTCTCTCTCTCTCTCTCTCTCTCATCTCTCTCTCCTCTCTTTCTCTCTCTCTCTCCCCCTCCAGTTTGGGGTTTCTAATTCTTAACCTTTCTGCATTAGAAGAGCTTAACTTTTGCTCTGATTGAGAAAACAGAGTGCCTGGATAGTTCAGATGTTGTTGTTTAGTCATTTTTTAAGTCGTGTCCAACTCTTTGTGATCCCATTTTAGGTTTTGTTGGCAGAGATAATCAAGTGGTTTGCCATTTCCTCCTGTGGCTCATTTTACAGGTGAGGAAACTGAGGCAAACAAGGTTAAGTGACTTGCCCAGGGTCACACAGCTAGGAATTATCTGAGGCCAGATTTGAAATCAGGAAGATGATAAATCTTCCTGATTCCAGGTCTGGCACTCTGTCTACTAGGCCACCTACTTGCCCCAATTGCCTCAAAATAGGCATTTGCCGGGAGGACTCATCATATAAGATACAGGCAACTGGACATTTTTAAGGGGTTGATTAATCAGATTATAGGCTTATAATCTATCCTCCACCAGTTAACTGCTTTTGGCCATTTCACTCCCTATTAGCAAATTCAGCCAGCATGAATAAAGGAAATAAAATATGACATCAAACTAGTTTCTGCTTGTTGGAAATTTTAAAGAAGCTGAATGTATTGGCTCTAATAAGGGTATTATAATTCATTCTCAGTCATGAGATTGGTAGTAATCCAAAATTCACTCATTTCACTGATACAGAAATTGAGACCAAAATAACCACCAAACACCTAGATCCATTCCCAGACCAGTCTTTTGTTCATAGTTGAAACGCTCTCAATAAATATGATGATTGATTAATTGTCAAAAAGGGATTTATTTCTGGTCATGCAGGATGTCAATGACAGTGAAATATACTACCCTTCCTTTACAGAGGTTTCATTCTTCTTCTTTCAGACCATTCTTTGCCAATTGCTGCTTGTCTTTTGTTGTTGTTAGCCTTGTGAGTAGTAATTGATAAAATCGTTGTGCAGTTTTGCACATGCCTGTTTAGATTGTACTTCTAAAAGTCTTTTTGTTGCACTTAGATGGAAAAATAAGAGTTGAAAGAGTTACTTGCAAGGAAGTGGAATCAAGATGCCAGCTTGGGGAGGATGTGCAGGATTAGGTGGGCTGGAGCCCAGGCAAAGCCATGGAGGTATCCTGTGCTTTCGTGCTTTGGTCCAGCTGTGCTTTGCCTTTGCTCCCTTGGAATGCACTCATGCACCGGGGCCAGTGCTTTGCTGTCATTTTAAGGGAAACTCCTTTCTTTCTTCCTAAGCTTTCTGAGGAGACAGAACAGAGGAAATAACATATTGAATGTGGGAGCTGGCTCAAAAATGAAGCCCTCAGCCCGTTCACAAGGAAAGGATTGTTTTAGCTTGTGTCACTGCTGCTGGAGAGTGAATTTTTTTTGTCTCTGTAATGTTTGATACTTGAGGGAAAACAGCTGGGACTGAGCATACTTGATCCGATGCGAAACGAAATGGGATGCTGGGGAATATGGACTGTACTGTATAGCTGGAAAAGGTCAGAATTTTCCCTTGGTCATTGTCGGAGGAATGCTGGGTCTGTCCTCATGCTAGCCTTCAGAAAGGGGCTGGAGAGGGACGACGGCTGGCTGCAATGTGGCAGGGTGTTGTTACTCACAGATGGGATACAAGGGCTTTTGCATCTCTTCCTCCTTCCTGCCCGGCTGGTTTTGATTTTCTGGGAGGACTGGAAAAAGTCAACAGATTTTCGGTTGGGGAGAAGTAGTTGGTGACCACGTTCAGCAGCTAGTTCTGACAGGCTAGACAGATGAGTGCCTGACCCAAACCACAGCAGCATAACTGGAATTACAAGAAGAGCCCTGGAGAGGAGAGTCCTGCCTGAGTTACACTAAAAGCGGACATGAAAGTAGTTGAGATCAAATACATGAAACTCAATCCGAGGTCAAGAATGTGTATTTGGGGGCATAGGACCTGATTTTGCACTGAACTAGTTGTTAAGATGGTAGGTGCAGCTTTGTGAAGCCAGTCAATATTCTGTTGTTTTTTAAAGGAACTTTTTACTTGGTGCCACAGATTCCATCACCAAATTGCCTAAATTCAGAGGTGGGGATAAACTGTAATTAAGCCATGAAACAATTATTTGATTAACTTTTCCTTTGTTTCTTTGCCAGTCAAGAGAACAATCGGATGATGAAACAGAGGAGTCGGTGAAGTTTAAGAGGTTGCACAAGCTGGTAAATTCTACTCGAAGAGTCAGAAAGAAACTCATTAGGGTGGAAGAAATGAAAAAACCCAGCACTGAAGGTAAAGAGCAAACTACACCCTAGTTCTTCCAAAGTAAATCAGATTTTCAATTTAAAGGGCTGCTTTCAAGTAGGAATCCTACTTTGAGCTATGGGTAAGGGCTAGTGGAAAGAAGTGTGACTACAAGTTACTAAGGCAGTGTTCTATAAATAGTCCAATAAGGCATCCTATATGATCAAGTAATTTTTAGAGTACCTATATAGTTTGATAGTGACAAAAGGGGGGATGGTCAGTATACACTGATGCCTTTATAGTCCCCATTTTTAAGAGCTGTCGTCAAGGTTGGCAGCGCTGTCGCTTATTTTTCCATCTGCTTTATACTTTCTTACTATTGCTCTTATATAACGTACTGTGTCAAAACTGGGTAAGGTATACCATAAAGAAAAAAGAATGAGCCATGACTCCTGGGCAGTGAACTCAGATCTTAGTTTGCCAGACATATCTTGAGCAATAATTTTAGTTGGCAACATAATTGGAGTATCTTTAGTGTCCCTTCAGATTTCCCCTGTGTGATTTGCAGGTTTTACTTCTTTTTCTTTTTTCTCTTTTTTTTTCTTTCTTTTTTTCTTTTTTTTTGGGGGGCAAGCCTAGTAAACAAGTTCAGGCTTAAGTTAAGTGGGTCTTTTAAGGATATCGAATTCTTCTGGGTCCTTAAAGGGATCCTGTTGTCCCACTGGGTTATTAGGTTAAAAAATGAGTAGCTAGGGAGATGTCAGCTTCTGCCATTGTAACAAGTACAGTTTGAAGTTTGATTATGGAAGCTTCAGCACTGACCTTATGACCCTTTGTGTTGATGGTGTGCATTTGTAGGTCTTGTGACCTTGTGAGACTCCTTTTTAAAAATGATGTCATATAGCAATAAGGTTTCTTATTTGGAGCGGTTACTGTAAATAAGGAGACTGGTTGCTCAGGTCATTTAGTTCCAGTGCCTCACTTGTTAAAATGTAATGTGGTACTTAAGTTTTTGGTTGGTGAGGATGCAAAGTTGGGGCCAATAATCATTTTCCTTGTCTTTGTGAGACTTTTCATTGCCCAAACTGAAGCTGAAGTAGACGAGAAAAAGGAATTTCCACTTTCTGGATAGGATAAGTGCTTCCTGTTGATTGTTTTGGTTCAAATTCCCCAGAGACATTTTGAAAGGGAAAGAAGGGAGGGGCAGAAAGAGAGGAGGGATGTGGGAGGAAGTGCATGGGGGAGAGACAGAGACTGAGAGAGAGAGATTTGTTTTTATGGACAGATTCAGAAGTATAGAGTTATTTTTAAAAGCTGATTTTTTAAAAGAAATTTTGTTTTTATTGCTGTTGCTTCAGAGGCAGTCCTAAGTGTCAACTTATATCTTCTCACTATATCCCTATCTATCTGCACTGTGGTAGATTTTATTATTCTGATAGCCAGGTGGAACTATTTATATTATGGTACAAGAACATTTCTCAGCCTCAGTCTGCTTTTATGTAACTAACTTTTTTTGGTTGTTTGTTTTGAATATATTGTTGTAAATAAACTAACTGGGGTAAACAGAATGTTTCTTAAAAGCAAAATAGGGAGAAGAGAAAAAAAATTATATATGAAGAGACAGAGTTTAGTTTTAAAGGCAAATGATGAGCATGCTCCTACCCCTGTTCCTCATTGGCTTGAAAATTGCTCTAGATATCTTCAAATGCCATAGCTATTGTTAATGTGAGCCCAGAGTTACCATTTCAATCCATCTTGTGACCAAGGGGCCATGGTGTCATTGGAGTCTGGCTCTTTGTTCCATTACATTGATGAGATGAGACCCCAGGTATGATTTGAAAGAACGTTGTTGCAAGTGGTAGCACTACAGAAGAGTCTCAGCCTAGGCCAAGAGCCATGATGTAGCCCAGGAAGAGAAGGGAATATCATAATCAAAGGAACTGTGAGAATGGCTCTAACACAAAATCTTGATCTATGCTTGTATTGTAGAGGCAAATACAAGGGTTTCCGGAAACTTAAAAAGGGTTCTTTTAATGCATGGATTTACCAAAACAATAAGGAATCCTAATGCCTATATTGATTATAGCAAGATGAACATCTTTTTGCTTTGTTATATGTATAGGGTTCAGAATCAGCTTAAATTTAGAACTATGGATTCATAGACCCACAAATGGTAGGGACTTTAGAAGTTACTAGACTAACCCTCTCATTTTATAGATAAAGGAAACTAAGCCCCTGAGGGGTTACTTCACTTGCTCAGTATCCCCCAGGTAATAAGTAGTTGAACAGAGATGGAAACTTAGATCTTCTGGCTCCAAATCCATCCCTCTACCAGTAGATCGTGATAGACACACCATACTAGAGTCAGGAAGAGCTGGACTCAAGTTTTGCCTGTGTCATTTACTAGCTGTGTGACTCCAGACAAATCACTCCACCTGCCTGAGCTTTAGAGCTATCAGAGACAGATCTCTGAGATTTATCTACTTCATCATGGACAGGTTGTGATGAGGGTTGGCGGAGGAAGTTCTACACCCAAGAAATCATATATCCTTGAAGTGTCGCTGAATGAGTAATCTTGTTCAGTGTGGGGCAAAAGGAAGGGAAGGGTTTGAATTATCTCTGATTTCTAGGATTCTGGAGGTAACAGTTATAGTTGGTCCCCAGAAGTTTCTGGGTCACAGGTGATATTATGAAATTGGCACCTTCCTATTTCTGTTGTTTTTCTTTTTTCCTGCTATCACCCTTGCTTTAAGGTACTGGGTATCCTGATGGTGGCCACAGCATAAAATCATAAAGCACAATAAAAATGCCAGCTGTTGTTGTCACTGTGGCTATTATTAATAAGCCTGCCTCTCCAGCTCAGTGCCCCATGTGTCAAAAGTGACTCTTCTTTCTCTTCACATGAGAACTCCTCTTTTCCTAGTATCTTAACCTTTTCTAGTCTTTTTTATGTTTCTTTTTTTAATCATTGTTAATATATCCACTCATTAAAATCAGATGGAGCTACATTTTGATCTGGTTCTGTCTACGCTCACATGTGTAGTGGGCCAGTTAGTATTATAAGAAGGTAAGCTGATAAATTTGTTTTCATTATGGTGTTAGATTGTAGCTGATTAATAGGTTATGCCTTTTAAAGTATATTTGCATTTTAAAATAACAAGGCTTGGACAGGTAATACCAAAGATGCCTGAGTTTCCTGGTGGTAAAATTTTAGGCAAGAGTCATTTTGGAGCAGAACACCTTTGTGTCAAGAAAGCCGTTTTGGCTGTATTTGGTTATGGTTGCCAGATTTCAATTGTATTGACTTACCAGATTATGAATTTCTAGAAGTAGAAGTCATGTATGATATACATGTATGCCTGCCACCTGATTGATTTCAGAGTCAAACACAAGACAGTATAGGATGAAGCAATCCTATAGTTAGATAGGAGACATCTATCCCAGACCTGGCTGCTCCATGCCCCTTGGACCATTTTAGACCAAGTTAAATCCCTACCCATTCACCTTTCTATAAATGGCACTTGTTTTATCCTATTTCTATGCCTAAGGTTTTAGCTGTATTTCTTCACAGCTGGCCAAAATCCTTGGTTCCCTGGGCTGGTGGCTTCATCTCCCTAAAAAGAATTTTGGCAGTATCCATGGGTACCAAAATCTTATTCATTCCTTCAGTATTCATTTACTGAAGGATTGATGAATGAACGTTGATTAAGGTATGTCAGGTACTCGGGTATAGAAACACAAAAGGGAAACCATTCCTGTCCTCAAAGAGTTTGCATTCTAGTCAAGTCAACAAACACTTACCGTTTGCCAGATGTTGTGCTAAGTTCTGAGGATACAAAAACAAACAAAAAGACAGTCCCTGCCCTCAAAGAACTTACATTGTAACGGGGGAAGACCACTTATAAGAAGGAGCTGAAAATCGAGGGAGGGATTAGGGGGAAGTGGGAGAAGGAATGGGGTGAAGTCCAGAGAACCAGGAGCAGAGTAAGGAGAGGAGGAAAGGATGACTGGCCTCAAAATAGAGCTTCTGGGAGGAACTCACCAATGGAAGGAGGGAGCTGTCTGTAGGAGTGGAGGGAACTTCTAGGGTAGGAAGGCAGCTAGTGAATGAGGGAGCATCGGGAGTGGAGTTGAGGGATACCACACATATAGGAGATTAGGTCCAGAGAAATTTTAGCTGATGGAGTCACAGGGATTGAGTAGAGCCTTATAGTGTATTCAGTTATCATACCATTTCCAATAACAATGGTAAGATTGGTTTGATTACTGCTCCTAGAGCCAAGACCAAGAGATAGAAATTGTTGGGGGCTGCTGGGGGAGGAGGGAGGAACAGATAAAAGGATATTTGCATGTCTATGCAGATGGCAAAATGCTTGTACTTGGTATGCTGTTTTTTGGTTTGTTTGTTATTTTTTTTTCTCCTGAATGACTGTATGGGAGGTAAAGCATAGTCTAGGACCAGCAAAATATAATGAGTTTTCAAAACTCTTTTACACTCACCATTCAGGATAGGTCATCTTTGAGAGCTGAGTGCCAAAACTGAGTGCATTAACTTCTTGTGGTCTGGAGGGTAGTACCCACTACATATCAGGAATTATACTAAATGCTTGTATTCAAAAGCAAAAGTGAAGTAGTCCCTTCCTTATTTTGGAAATGGCAGGGGAATAAACTATACAATTATAATATATATGAATATACACAAACGCATTTATATCACATATTCAGGGAGCAGCAGGTTGGCCAGTTTGACTTAAACTAGAATGCATGAAAAATAATATGTAAATATACCTGTCATAACATAACGTTGGAGTCCTGAGGTTCTGTGACACTTTGTTTCAGCAACCAGGTAACCAGGAGAGCAAACATAAAGTGTCTGTTATCTTTCCTGGTTTGGAAAATTTGGAAGCCTAATTTTAAACTCCATAGTTTGGTGTTCTCATCGTGCCAGGAAGCTGCACTGGGATCCATCTCTTTGGAATCGTTTGGATCATAGCCCTGGGAAGAGGGTTCCCATTATACCAAGAAGCTACAAAATTGAGGCTTGTACTCCCTTGGTTAAGGGGACCCTGAGATTTGCAGAAAACCGGAGTTGCCAAAAATCGATCCCATCAGCCCAAACAATTATTCTAGTAAATGGAACTGGGCTCTAGGTCAGAAAGAACTTGTGACTTCATATGTGCACACTTGTTAATCTCTTTTTTCTTTAACTCATTATAAGACAGCTCTTTTGTTGCATTCTGTGGTGACACTTCCTCTTCTATTATATTCTTATGCTAAAATTTTAGCATATAAAATTATAAAAAGGCTTTTTAACAATTAAAGGCTTTGTTATGATTTTGGTCACTCATCTCCAATGAAAGCTTCTCCCTTTTAGCTCCCACGTCTAGTTTCTCACCAATGCCGTTGTCCCAGCTGTTATATTTAGTGCCATCCCTCTGTTCCAAGAAGCTTCTTACTTTTTTCCTCTTTAAAAATTCAGCTGGTGGAAAGCTGTGGTGTTAGAAAATTTCCTTCTCGTAATTAGAGGGACACAGCCAGGCTCGGTACACCCACAATTTGACCTACTTCTTTTCTTACATCTGTTCACATAAGATACACAGGAAAGGACTCAAGTGATCCCACACCCCCATCTCTCCCTGCCAGCAAGTCCAGACCTTTCCACTGGGTTCTGTGGGGCTTAACTAGATACCTGGTGCTGGCAGAACACTTAGGGCAGTGACACACTTTAGAATCCTGGAAATCAAATAGAATGCTGGATGTGTCTGCTTGCACGTCAGTGCCCTGAATGCTCTCCTAACTTAATGACTTCACTGGTATTGGTGGAAACCTTGGGCCAAGATCATCGGTATACTGGGTACTATGTGTTTGGCTTGTCAACTACAGACTGTTCATTAATTGCATTTGCAAAATATAACCCTTTAACTCACCAAAATATGCCCACCAAATATAACCACCAAAACTGCCCCTACCCAGGGATTTAGCTGCTCAGATTTCAAGCACACTAATAAAAATTCAGCCACCTGGCATTAATCAACCACCCTACAGTAGCCAATTGGAACGAATGTAGAATGGAGCAAAGGAAGAAGACTGATTCTAAGTACAGGCTTCTGAAGATCAAGCTTTAAAACAGTGAAGGAGGAAAATTATCTTTAAATGCTAAGCAATAAGTTGATAACAGCTAGCCTTGTCATTTATGACAATTTGTAATTGAGCTATTACTTATTTTTAGTTCTATAGAGAGGACCAGATTTAAAATATTTAGGCAGGGTATGACCACACAAAGCTTTGCGTACATCCATGTGTTCGATTGCTTAGTAAAGTAATGTTCTTTATTTTCAATGTATGTTGCAGTGTAGAGTGAAAGAGGAGCAAGGGATCAGAGTGCAAGAGAGGGATTTTGGAACATGAGCTTAGCTAGCACAATACAGTTTGCAGAAGAGTCAGTGGTCAATCAGTCAAAAAACACTCATTAAGTACTTACTGCGTACCAGGACCTATGCTAAGGGCTGGGGATAGAAAGAAAGGCAACAATAGTCTCTGCCCTCAAGAAGCTTACATTCTAATGGGAGATAACAATGTGAAAACAACCAAAGTGGTAATGAATCCAGAAGGTGTATTTGTAAGAAGTATATAGATCATGCATACTGTTTTGTTCCCCCTCCAGGTGTGGAGGATCACCCGATTGCCAGCTCCCCAATCCTGGATGAAAGGTCAGCTCTCTACTCTGGAGTTCACAAGAAGCCATTCTACTTCGATGGCTCCAATGAGAAATCACCAGAAGATGACTCGGACTCCTTCACCACCTGTCCTTCATCCAGCAGTCTGGACACTTGGGGTGCAGGCCGAAAGCTGGTTAAAACCTTTAGCAAAGGAGACGGCCGTGGCCTGATAAAGCCTGCTAAAAAGATGGGGACATTTTTCTCCTATCCAGAGGAGGAGAAGACCCAGAAGGTCTGCCGTTCCCTCACCGATGGGGAGATGAAGAAAGGTCTCGGCTCCTTAAGTCATGGGGTAAGTACCGAAAGTGTTTGCTTTTATGACAGCAATCGACATAAACATCACCTTCTGGTGTCCCTAGAGGAGGTCCAGAGTGTCAGGAAGCAAATCCGGTTGAAGAAAATGGATACTAATTATTCCTGTTCCCGAGCTTTTCTCTGCCAGCGCCCCTCTAGAAAGGGCCTAAGTGCTACCACTTGCGACCTGCAACTGCTCCGGCAGAAACCCAAAGGGGGAGGCGGCTGCGGCTTCCCCAGTAGAAGGCTGCGGGGGCGTACCTCGGTCAGCGAGTTCAATATCACCTATGTGGTGGAGCGGAGCCTGTATAGCCACCTCAACCTGACCCAGCTGGTGCGGCCTGTCACGGACAGGACCCTAAGCAAAGCCGACAAGCAGGACCTGAGGCGGTGCTTGCTCGAGGAGGAGGAGGAAGCCCACAGGAAGTGGGCTGCCACGGTGGACCGCTGTACTAAACGGGTTCTCTTGAGAATCCACCAGAAGTCTGTGAGTCAAAGGAGCTGGTCGTTAAGTTGGCCTTGTAATGCCTGTGAGGTTGCAGTGAAGTACCATTTTCTGTTCCTTTCTCTCTTTCACCCCTTCATGTCTGGGTCCACTCTGTCATCCCCTCAGAACAGCCACCCTCCCTTTCATTTAGTAATAGTTTCCTCCTTTTAGTTTTTATGTTGTCTCCTTGACAGCTGAGGTTGTCAGGTTTTTAAATTAAAGCTAAACATAGACATAGAGATCCAGGCAGGGAATTCCAGTCACCATGGGAGTCATTTGCACTTCTGATTCTTTCTAGGTAGCTGTTTTTGCTTTGAAACTTGATGTCAATAGATCTTATTATAGAACTGTTCCCCCTCCCCCCCAAAAAAAGTATGTCACAAAAAATTTTAATTTAAATTTAATTTAATTTTAAAATTTTTTTAAAAATTTATTTTATAAAAAGATGCTTGAGTCACTAGTGAATCAGAGAAAATGAACACTGGGAAAATTTTCGCTTAAAAAGAATGTTGTAAAGTATGGACATTTTAGGAAGAAGGGAAAAAAAATCTTAAATATAAAAGTGAAAGAAACCTATTGGGCCCCATTTAGTCTACCTAGATCTATTAAAGGTTCTCATAAAATAAAAATAAATTTAATTAGAAATCTCTGTCCTTATATGGGCTTTGAAATCTTGTGAGGATGAGAAAAACATTAATTTGAAGGTACTAGTTTATGTAGCACTGGATTTTGTGTTCTCCAGCATCTCTGTAGAGGCCATTTAGGCCAAACTCTTTAAAATATTGAGGTGTGATTTGTGCAACGTAGCAAAGGGAAGAGCCCAGAATTTGAACCCAGCTCACCTGCCTCCAAATTCATTGTCCTTTCCACTGTGCCATAGTAGCTTATTTCAGAGAACTACGTGATTGACTTTATATGCGTATGTGACTTCATTCATACAGAGAGCTCCCATTTAGGAAAATCTTTATACCAATAGTCTTAGAGACTTGGTGTCTTGGAGTTTGGGACCACTGAGAAGCCAAGTAACTTGACCATTGTGTGTCAAAATTAACACAGTTTGTGTGACTCAGGGAGTGGTTCTCTATTTACTAAGCCATCCTACCTCTGATTATGTTGAGAGACTTTTACATTTATTTTTAGCATTCCTGTCCTGCCTCTCCTATCACAATTGACTTGTAACTCTGGACTTCACTTTCCTCATACAGTCCTCATCTATAAAATTGGGAACTTAGATCTCTAAAATCCCTAAAAGTTCAAAGATTCTGTGACTCTTTCTACACTGTTCATTTACTCATATACCCAGGTTATATTGACTTCTCTTATGTCACAAGTCACCCTGTGCTTGCTTCCAATCCCAGCTAAAGTCCTTTCCCTTTACTTATGCAGTGCTTTCACTTTATTGATTATTTCTGACTCATTCTATACATAGGTCATTAATATGTTGTCTCCTCCACTAGACTGTGAGATTCTCAAGAGAGCAGAGACTGTCTTTTCCCTTCCTTTGTACCCCATGGCTTACTTAACACAATGACTGGCACATAGTAAGCACTTTTAAAAGAAATATTTATTGAATGAATGAATGAATGACAAAGCACGCTAGGGATACTAATAGAAAATGAAAATGGTCCCTACTCTCAAGGAGCTCATATTCCAGTAGGAGGAGGGAAAAAAAAACAAACAAGCAAACAAACACAAATAACTAAACAAGTCACAGTTAGATTCGTTTTCTTTCTTCTCAGTATACCACCACTCCTTGTAGATTTCCCATCAACCTTTTTTAAAAGGAAAAAATAATCTACATATAATCTGGTTCTTCTCCATTAACCAGTTAATCAACTTATAGTATAAAAGATCATTTAATGATGCAAACTAGCACTCAGAATGGATAGTTTGAAGTCATAGTGGCTCTGTTCTGTTGTATTGTCAGATAAATGATGTTATTTATTCCTCAAGAAATTCTCTTTGATGGTCATTAATATCAATTTATTGATTTAGTGTTCCCTGACACTGAAATGGACATCCTGGAGAGTAGCCTACAGTGGAAAGAGTACTGGCTTTGAAGTCTGAGGACCTAGGTTCAAATCCTTCTTCTGTTGCTTAATACCCCTCTGACCTTGGGCATGTCACTTGGGGCCTCCGTTTCTTCATCTGTGAAATAAGAGGATTGGACTAGATGGCCTCAAAGATTCTTTCCAGTTCTAGATCTGTGATTCATCTATGAGAGCATCTTTTCAATAGCAGAATTTTTCATAAAGTTGGTATTATGAGTTGTTTTGACTTTACATGCCAACAATACCAGTATAAAGCTAAATAATTGCAGCTTATCTACCTTTACACAGGGGGATGTGGGATGGTTCTGGATGATAATTTCATTGACTAATTAGTAATGGAAATAAAGAAGAATGACATTTTGTATTTCTAGCCTCCCCCTTCCCCCACAACTAAGGGACACCTCTGTGTTGCTCAAAGAAATGCAAGTGAGCCCCTCTATTTTTTTTTTCTGAAGAGAAGGCACAAGTTCATATTCTTTGCAGTTTCCTTTAAGGAGTTCATAACATTCATCAATTCATATACTTCTCCTTTCTTGCCCCCAAAGTACTGCAGCTTTCTATGATTTTTCAACCTTGAATTTCTTATCTTTTCCAAATACCAGATTTACTTATTGCAACCTCAGGGCAATGACAATGCCTTTGTTTTCAGTGGAAGTGGTCACCTGTCTTGCCTTTAATTTAATCATTTAAGTTTGGTTTTGATGGTACAAACATGCATGGAATTTGAGAATCTTGTCAAGTCTTTTTGTTTTTGTTTTTTTCCCCTTGGTGGTTTTTTTTTTTGTACATAATAATAAAACATTTCAACTGCATGACCATTCCATGGAAAAGCCCTCCTCACTCATGGGTTTAAACGTTTTCAGAATTATAAAGAAAAGATATTTAAGTATTAGAAATTGCCAACTAGGGTGTTATTTATTCATAAGGTCCAAGTATGATTGTCAGATTTTACATTTTTTTAAAAGATTCACCAGTTTCTAATTTTTTCTATTCAGCAAGGACTGCTCTTAAAAGCTTGGTATTTTACAGAACAAAAGTGAGATTTTGTCAAAGATAATTTTACTTGCATACCTTAGGCTGATATATTTTTGTACAGAAAAAGCTGATTCCAGCTTAACCCATTACTGGGTTAAGAATAGGATTGTATTTTACAGTTGAGAATCACCTTCATCCTCTAACTTGTGGTTTGAATATGAGGCCTAAAATCCTTTTTACTAACTCCCTGTATCTATCCAAATATATATTTTGACAGTACCAGGGTCTCCTTTGGTAGTCATTGAAGGATGGCAAAAGAAAAAAGGAATAGTATAACTCATACACTAACCAGGCCCATAAAAATTTAAATAAGCTTTTAATTTATTACAGTCATCATTTTAACCCAGATTCTTTGGAAATTATTTCATTTGCATTAGAAATGACATACTGGGTCCTGCTGTAGTAGCTTACTCTGGCTTAAAGCAGGATGTTGCAAAGCCATAAACTGATGAGGCATCTGTAAGCCATCCCACATCTAGGAAGCAGTAAGTCAAAGGAAAGACCACCAGAGCTCAAAAAAATGTCATTCCTATCATTAAAAAAGTCTTTTTGACAGCATAAGTAGAAGGAGGAGAATTAATACTAAAGGTTACCCCGTTGGGTCCAGTCATACAATGGTTTGCCTAATTAAGTGACTTGGTGAATATTTTTTCATACATGGTATCCTTTACTCATTTTATAATATAGATGTATCCCAGCCAAGTTAGCTTTAAAGTTAATCCTATTTCCCCAACCACTCATTATGAAACTGGAAAAATTGGGGGTGGGGAGAAATTCTACAATGGCCAATTTTTTTTTTTTTGGCAAGGCAAGGTCTGTGACATTGTATTATTAGCCCCGAAAGTGTTTATAGAAATATGTCAGCCTCAGGCGTGAAAGTAACATTATCTTTGACAAAATCTCATATTTGGTCTGTAACATACCAGTCATTAAATCTCTTTTGTCACTCTGGCACCTCTGTTCTACCACATTCCCCACATCTCACACTTCCCAAGGCCACAAGAATTTGTCACATTCCTTAGAGCCCAGTGACACCAGTCATGACTGAGGATCCTGGAAGTTATTCCCCCAACTTAGGTTATTTTCACTCTTGAATAAAGATAGCCCTCCCTTCCACTATTTGCCAGAGGGTGTGACAGTGTTCTCAACATAGTCAGCCTGAAAGTGTCAGGTTCTCAAAACAAATTAATGCCCAGTTCAATAAATTTTAAAATTCTATAATTTTAATTTACTTTCAATGAGGTATATTGGTAAGGATCTTTATGTATTTCTGGAAACATTTTTTTTCCAAATGCTATCATTGCCCTCTGTTAGGAAATGCTTTGAAAAAGTGTTCAGTATAAATCTATTTTTGGATTTTTTTAAATTCCTAAGCCACCTCTGATTTTGCCCGCACACAAGAATATTGCATTTTTTTTTCATTTTCCTGAACGGTCAGGTGTTTTTTCTTAGAAAAAGTGCATGTAATACAAACCAAGCTTAGAAAATGTAAAATCACTTCTCTGTAACCAGCTTACTGGAGTATCTTTCCCCAAGAGGTGGTTCAAAAGTTTCTTCTTTTGCTCAATTTGAACAGCTGTAATAGGAGAGGTTGGACAAGATGATCTCACAGGTCATCTCCAGCTGTAAAGTTCCATGGTTTTGATTCTGTACTTTAAAGACAACAGTGTTTTGTAATTGATCTTAAAGGGACTGGTCCACAATAATGCTTATCATTCAAAAACTTTTTTTCTTTCTTCTTGGAAGATATGGCTTTTATTTGTTGATGAAGATTGCTTCAACCCATTTGCTTTGGGGAGAGAAGTAATGTTATAGCTCATTAAATTGTAGTTACTACCTTATGACCTTGGGCCATTTAGTCAACCTCTTTGGGCCTTAGCATTTTCATCTGTAAAACACAGGGGGTTTTACAACTTTGGGCTAGGTTTCTCTAAAGTCCCTCCCAGTGCTACATCTATGATCCCATGATCTTCATGTTATTAGGGCTTTTGGTTGGGATGTATAACAATGAGTAAGTTATCCTGTTGTCCAAATTGGACCACTGTAAACATCACCTGTTTTTCCCTCCTGTTTGGTATTTATGTCTAAAAAGATATAAAAATAGTAAGTTGAGGAAGACTAGAGTTCAAGATCTCTTAGAGTAACCCCCCATAGCTCTCCCTAATGTCCCTGCCAGAGTTTCTGGATCCCACTGTAAATATTCATAAATTTTCCGTTACTGCATTTGGCCAATCTGAGGGGGTAGTTCAGGGTTGGATGTTGAAATTTGGTTGCCCAGAGACTGGAACTCTTACTACATGGAATAATTGGAGATTTTCTTCAAACCAGATGATTTTAGCATATTAAGGAGATCTTGAACTTTAGAAACTCTGGGTCTGGGCAAGGTTCAATGTCCCATGAAAAGAGCAAGATGAACTAGGTTTCTTCACCACATGAATCATGAGATTTCACATCATTCCTCATTCCAGCTCCCATCTCCGTAAAGCCATTTGTGATTCAGTGGTGTTCTGCAATTGGGAAATGTATTTACTGGGGGTTTGTTCTGCCGTTCTGCCTGTGTTTAATCAGTATGCTACCCTGTCCTTTCCACAGAGGACCTGCAGTTTCGGAGGATTTGACTTGACGAATCGTTCTCTGCACATTGGGAATAATAATTCTGACCCAATGGTGAGTGCAAGACAGGGGAAAACAAATGATTTGGTTTCAAGTGATGTAGCTGCAGAGAAAGTTTCAGATTTAAAATCTCTAAGAATTTATACTATATGGTTGGTTTGGTTTTTTTTCCTTACAAGAAGCCTAAATCTTCTTTTGAAAGAGGGCTCTATATCAGCAACCTTAATGTTTCCCGCTGCACCATAGAAAATGAATAATGATTCTTTATGGCCTCTGTCCGTCTTTCCTTCTGTTAGCTTAGAGGACAACAGATCTTTGATGCCTTTATTACCACGTTCTTTTGTTGTTGTTGTTAAAGTTAGAAGTACTAGAAGTATTTTGCTTGTTTAGATTTATCCATTTGTGTATACATGGAATTCTTCATGACCAGTTTGAAGTACCTGAAACATGTACACAGTGGGGGAATGGAAGATGCTAAATCACAGGGAAGAAAATAATTACCTACATACCTAGAGCAAAAATGACATTTGGAATGCTCAGTGTCTAGCGGGAAGGCCTTTCACCCTGTCTCTGCCTCATTTCATTATGAGTATTCTCCAAAAGTATTTCTGGAACCTCTAGAGCAATTCCTGTACTTGAGTCTGCCTCTAGCCTTGTAGCTATATATCTAAGGGTCAGCTCTGTTATAGGCCCAAAGCATGTAATCCACAAGAGCTGTTAACTCTAGGTCATCTTGGCATGAAAAGCCCTAAAACAGATCCAGTCTCACTGGGGCCAAACCAAGCTAGACTTTTTAAGGCCATTGTAGACTACAGAGGGACATCCCAGACCCTTGGGTATGTTGACATTTTCTGGGAACATTGGAGAGAACCAAATTATAGGACTAGGATATAGAAATATTCTCCCTGAATTATATTTTCTTTCAGTCTTAATAAGATCATTTTATAGGTGGTTTGCTGTTATTCTTAAGAATTTTTATATGAAAATGCTTATTATTATTATTTCTGAAATTGTTAATTTAAAAAAAAAACGAGCATTTATTTTCTCTTCCTCCCACTCACATCCTCCCATTAAAAAAGAAGAAAACACATGCATAGTCAATATGCTTTCTCTTTTGGCTAGCAGGAATCAACTAAAATGCCCATACAAGAAATTTTGATTTTTTTTGGAAGAATTAAAGTATTACATTAGGAAGGGAGGTAGAGAAGAAGGAAGGGAGAGAGAGAATAAATCCTTTTTATTTCATTTTTGTATCATTGATTCAAATAAAATAGATTGAGAAGTAGCTTCAATATAACCTAGAGTCGAAGGATAAAATTGAGAGTTGATCAGTCAGAAATGTGGTGATAATCTGGTGTTAATGTTGGGATAAATTTATTTGTGCAACTTTTAAAAAATCCTTAATTCTCCACTTGTTAACTCCTGCTTTGATGTTGCCTTTATACCTATACCTATCAACAGTAGCACAACTTTTTTTCTAATTTCTTTTTTATGTCACCTAACAATCATCACTAAACACAAAGATTTCAGCATAAAAAGAACAACAAAAAAAAAAGGATTAGATATGAAACTGTAGCATTGAGCTCCCTCTGCCCTCCAAAATAAATTGTAACTTGTGGGAGCTAAAAGGAATCTTAAAGATCATTTATTCTAGCCCTTTCATTTTCCAGATGAAATAATTGAGGTCTAGACATTGTAAATGAATTGCTCAAGTTTTACAGTCAGTAAGTCCCAGAATCAAGATTTCCACCTAGATCCTCAGTCCAAATCTGATGCTCTTCTCACCTTAATTTTCTGCTACTGAAATGTAACCCTCTCTAAGTTGGAAAATAAGAGCAAAAAGACTATGATAAAGCATTTGTTTTGTGCTTACTATATGTCAGGCACTGGGATAAGTACAAGAAAGCAAAATAGCTTCTACCCTCTTGGAGCTTACATTCTAATGTGGGAAAACAAGACATGAAGGACTACTGGAATAAAGGGGAAAAGAGAAGAGGGTCGTATGCAGGTAGCTTGGTTTGGAAAGAATGGCTGGGAGGTAACATGGAGGCCTTTTGTTCCAGGCATGCTCAAGTCAAGGTAAATGGTAAAAGCTCAACTTTCAGATACCAAGATCTTGAGGACTGAAGGATAAGGGGATGAAAGTAATGATTAGAACTCAGGTAACATGGTTTAGAAATGGTAGCCCAGAAATAAGAATTTGCCCAGGCTGATCTGAACCAAAAGCTACCTTTTTGATTAAAAGACTATCCCAGATGGTCAATAATATTTCACTAACAGACAGTAAAAAAAAAATGGCATTATCAAGGCGAATTAAGAAAAAGCTGATGATAATAGTAATAAAAATAATCATTTTTATTGTTCAGTTTTTTCAGTCATGTGCAAGTCTTCATGACCCTCTTTGGGGTTTTCTTGGCAAGGATACTTAAATGGTTTGCTTTTTTCTTCTGCAGCTCATTTTACATCTGAAGAAAATGAGGCAAAAAGAGTTAAGGGACTTGCTCAGATTCCCTAAGTGCCTGAGTCCAGATTTGAACTCAGGAAGATGATTCCTGATTCCCGACCTGGCACTCTATCCACTGGGCCACCTGGCTGCCCTAGAAACAGCTAGCATTTATATAGTGCCCACTATTTGCTAAGTTCTTTATAAATATTATTTTCATTTGATCTTCACAACAATGAAAGGGATACTCCAGTATTGCTCTAATATACTGGACACAGAGAACCAGTATATTTCTCTTTTAATTTTAGGAGATTAATTTTATTTCTAATACTTTTCTTTGTAGGGTAAAGAGGGAGATTTTGTGTATAAAGAAGTAATCAAGTCACCAACTGCCTCCCGCATCTCTCTTGGAAAAAAGGTGAAATCAGTGAAAGAGACAATGAGGAAAAGAATGTCTAAGAAATACAGCAGTTCTGTTTCTGAGCAGGTATGTAACTGAAAAGCAGACCAGCATCCATGGCAATATGACAAAAAGTAGAATTCTCAATGCATGATCTTTTATAGAACAGAGTTTTATGTTTTCTTCAGGATCAGGCAGCTCTATCCATTCTTCACAAAGTCAGACTTTACTTTCCATCATATCTCACCCTACAAAGTAGGTATCTGGTATTGAAGAGAGGCCCAAATGGAGAAAAAATACTAGCTGTAGGGAAGACAAAGGAACTGGGCTCAAATCCCTCATCTGCTGTTACTACTTGTTTGACCTTGTTCAAATCACTTGTTCTTTGTATGGAAATTGAAGGCATGAGATTAGATGTCCTCTGATATGACCATCTACTTCCAAGTCTAAGATCCTATACATTTGATCTTTAGGAGCCAACAAAATAGAATCTTGAAAAGACAGTCCATTGTGTTCTTGTATTCCGGACATGTAGAATAAATTTAATTGCTCTAGAAACACACAATAAGGTAGGGGACCACAACTTACTAGTACTTAAATAGTAAGCGTGTTTTCACAAATTGACCTAACGCATAAACCATTAAGGTAACATAGAATTGATTTTTTTCGTTTCTCCTATGATTCCATCCCTTAGGAGCATGACCAATTTTAGACCTTAATTGCAATGGGAGAGAGATTAATGGTTAAGTAAATAAATGCTGTCTTAAATCTGGGCTTTGGGGTAATTCTGACCAATTTTTTCCCAAGAATGCCATTTTTAGCAGTTTTTACTCATTTCTGTTGGGTGCATTGTCAGACTATATGCGCATGCGGACACTGGCTTTTAAAATCAGTTTTTCCACTTGAAATATGTAAGCAATCACTCAGAAACTGCCAAATAAAACAGCTGGGAAAACAAACATTTTTGGTCTAATCGATATCGCCCTCTTGTGGACCATTAGAAAAAAAAAGATAAACCTATAATTGGACTTCTGTAATCAAGAGGAACATAGTGGTGCAGTGCAAACTCAGTCAATAAACATTTATTAAGTTCCTACTATATGTAGGGCACTGTGCTAAGCACTGGCGATACAAGGAAAGGCAAAAGTCCCTGTTCTAGAGAAATTCACAGCCTAATGGGGAACACTACATGTAAACAACTACGTACAAACAAGCTATCTACAGAATAAATTAGGAAAACACAGGGAAGACACTAAAGGGTAATTTTGGAAAGGCTTCCTATAGAAGTTGGGATCTTAACTGGGTGTTGATGAAAGCCAGGGAAGCTAGGGCAGAAATGAGGAAGGGGACCATTCTAGGGATGGAAGACAACCAATGAAAATGCCTGAGTTAGAAGATGGACTGTCTTGTTCAAAGAACAGGAAGGAGGCCTATGTCACTAGGTAGTAAAGAAGGTGAGGATGGGGAGGTATAAAGTATACTGTAAGGTAAAGGGGGTAAGTTATGGAGAGTTTAAAATGCTAAGGAGGATTTTATATTCAATCTTAAAGGTAGTAGGGAACCACTAGAGTTTATTGGGGCAGGGAGTGACATGGTTAGACTTGTATATTAGGGAGATCATGGATAGCTGAGTGGAGAATGGACAAAAGCATGGAAAGACTTGTGGCCAGTAGGCCAATCCAGTGGTCCAGATGTGAGATAATGAGGGCCTGTGCCAGGGCTGTGGCAGTGTCGAAGGAGAGAAGGGGGCATATGAGAGAGATTTTATGAAGACTCAGAGGAATTTGGTTTGAATCCTGGCTCTCCCATTTACTAGCTTGCAATGATGGCCAAATAGCTTCACCACTCTGAGCCTACTTTCTTTATCAGTAAAATGAGGGAATTAGACTAATGGTCTCTGAGTTCCCTTTCAGCTCTAAATCTGTGTTCCTATGGTATGATCTATAGTATCTTGCAGTTCAAACATAACTTCAGAAACATTATTTAGCCTTAGTGTAGGATGACCTCAGTCTAAATTTGTTAATATTCTAGTCTGTGGTCTTCACCAGTGGGGGAAGGGGATTCTTTTGGGGTTTTTTTCCATCATTTTCATATACTTGGCTGTACTGGCTTGAGGTGTTGTAGCTATTCTGTCCTTCTGTCTAGCTGTGAAGCATTTGCTATGTGTTCTTTTTAGACAGGCTGCTCTTATGCCAAACAAAATCAGAGCCTTCAATTTGAAGTCATTTCATTAGTGGATCATGTTTCTCAATAAACTGTAATACTCAAAAGTTCTTGTAAATTACATGTCCTGAATTTATAAGTATATAAAGATATAAAACATTAACATGAGATATATAAACATTAATATTAAATACATTATCACTATATATAATATATATATCACAAATTATGTATTATATAATAGATATAATAATATATAAATATAATGCATAAAAATAAAAGGTGATTATATGAAATTATGAGTATAATTTTAAGGTCACTTTGATAACATTATAATTTGATTAATGTACAGATGCCTTATTTAGTAAACAGTTGTTCTAAGCCTTAAGTTTGCTCTATTGTTTAAAAACTTATGATGATTTTTCCCTCCTATCACTTGTAAGAGGTAGGGTTGGTATTTTGGATTGATTGAGGGTTGTGCTATTTGGTGAAAAATATTAAAGTGCACGTATAGCATTGTGTGTGCATTTTCAGTTTAGTTTTCTTTCATTATGATATATTTCATACCTAATAAAGTCCAAACTGCTTAACCTACTGTTTAGCATCCTCCACAGTCTGGCTCCACCAGCCTCTTAGGCCTTACTTCATACCATTCCACTCCCCACACTCTAGTTGAACTGAAATGCAGCCTGTTCCATGAATAGAAGGTATGCTTTCCCATCTCCATGTCTTTGTTTGCTCTGTTACCTATTCCTTAAATACTCTGCACACCATCTCCTCCATGAAGCCTTCCCTTGATCCTCCTGAATTATAAATAACCTTGCCTCCCCTCATCCCCAGAAAAAAAACTGTCATGGTTCTTGATGCCCCATATGTATTAATCATGTTCTTTTTTTTTTTTTTTTTTAGTTTATAATGACTTCAGTCTTATCTTCCCCACTTGGTCCTTGAGTGCAGGGACCCTATATCTCAATTAGTGCACCATGTATTATTTGTTTTCCAGTGTTCCTCAGTGCGTAAAACAAGATACTTTATTGATGTTTGTTGAATGCATGCTATATAGGGAATTTAGTGTAGGGATCATTTTCCCCCTGTGTCTTACTTAGGAAGAATTATTTTTTTCAGGGCTTCAAAATTTGGCATTTCAGGGACCTTCTCATACTACATTGGTTTTATTAATACTGGCTTTTTTTGTGTTCTCTAGAAGTAAAGTATGGATTTGTATTAAACCAAAAGGTCCTATTACTGTTGACCTTAAATGTTTGCATGGCCTGCAGAATCCCATACTTTGTAGATAATTTTTGATGAATCTGCACCATGTAAATAATAGGTTTCAGTTCTGATGGTTTATGTTCACATGCCCACAGACAGATTGTGCCAAATCGCTTGTCATTTCTATATTAAAAAGAAGTCTTGTAGTTTATTTTAAAGTTGTACATTGACTTTGCAGCATTATTCCTCAAAATAAGTTGCTGGACAATGTATAGCAGCAATTGACTGCCCAAAATGGAATGGATTGCATCTTTTCTCATAGGATGAACTTGACTGTCAGCATTCTAATATGGACAAGACTTTACAGACTGGCTGTAAAATTGGAAGGAATGAAAATAGGGAAAAATCAAACTGCGCTGTTGCATGTGGAAAAAAGTATCATTGAGTCAACTGAAAAACAAAAACTTTACTGTCTACACGAGTTTTTAGCCAACTTAGGCATATCTGTCTAAGTGAAAACACAAGAATCCAGCGACTTAGGTTTTTTCCACTTGGCATAACATTTTGTTTCAGTTAAAAAATTGTGCTTCTTGTTAAGGTGGCATAATTATTCTGTGATGATTGTTCCAGATCTATATTCCTATTCTGTGGGCTCTATTTGGACCACTTTTGAAAGTTATACCTTTTACTGAGACTATTTAAAGTGCTAGAGACCTGGTTAGGGTTTTAGCTGAGCATTTTGAGAAAACGTTCATTTGTCTCACTTGGATTTCTTGAGGAAAATCTAAAGTGGAGAGTGTGAAAAATGGTTGTATTGACTACAACTTGAAAAATAAGATGTACAATCAGTCCACAAGTGCTTTTATTTATTAAGTGCTTGCTGTGTGCCAGGTAACCGTTTTAAGGACTGAAGATACAAAGAAAGGCAAAAACAGTTCCTGTCTCAGGGAGAAGGGAGGGAAGAAAAGGAGGGAGAAAATTTGGAACTCGAAAGCTTAAAAATTTGTGTTAAAAATTGTTTTTAACATGTAATTGGGGGAAAATGAAATATTAAAATGAAAAAAAAACAGTTCCTATCTCCTGGGCTCACATTCCAGTGGAAGCCATAATAATAATAGCTGGTATTTATATAATGCCTACTATGTGCTAAGTGATTTACAAATATTATTTCCTTTGATCCTTGCAAAAGGTAGGTACTGTTTTATCTCCATTTTTGAAACAAACCTGAAAATGACTAGGTATATAGAAGCCATATACTGATTAGATGTGAGGCAATCTCAGAGAGTACAGGGAAGGCTTCCTGAAAATCTATGATTTAATACATGTCATGGAATCAGGAATGGGACATTAAGGAAATTTTGAAATTAGTTACGGGCCATAGAATTAAGGAAGGACAATTTTTTGGCAACACAGGGAAATGTGTATTTGTTGTAACTTATTTTCAGGACTCCAGCACTGATGGAATACCGGGGTCTCCCCAGTCACCTCAACCTGATAAAGAGTCCCTGGAAAAACCTAAACTGAAAGCTGGTGGGTCTGTGGAGAGTCTGAGGAGTTCTCTCAGTGGTCAGAGCTCAATGAGTAAGTTGAATACCTGACTGTGACGTTTGTATTTGTGTGTGACGACTAAGTGCCTCGGGACAAGGCTCCAGTAGAGGTGTTTGCAAGCATAAATGCAGCGACAAGGCAATGATTCAAAAATTTTGAAATGTCAGTAGATTTTATACTGTAAACATTATGATAGCAGAAACTTTGGTAATTCTGTTTCTAAACTTCCCACTGAGAGCTCCAAATGCCTTACAGCAGTTTTCACACCAGTCATGGGAAAAACCACTTTCTTTTACTGGGAAAGAATGTTCTCAACCATTGGTAAAATTATGAAGGAGATTGAGTTAGTCATTAGTATTCCTTACCCCTCCCTCTTGAGGCGCTCTCCTTGGGGCTTAGGTAGGAAGTAGCGTGGACTAGTGGAAAGATTTGGATTCAAAGGATTTGGAGTCAAAAGACCTGGATTCAAAGTCAGGCTCTGCCCCTTATGTGACTTTGGGTAAGAGGTTTTCATTGTCCCTCAGCTAGCTTTTTCAGTGGTAAAATTAAGGCATCTATCTGGGTTTAATGACCTCTTAAGTTCCTTTCTGGTTCTACATTAATAATCCTTGTGGTCCAATGACCCTTCTTAGTCTATTGACTCATAATGTTCCGTAGAACTACTGAGACTTTTTCTCTGCCATGTTCCTTTTGTTCTATTAAGTTAAGTGAGAAGTGCTGGACTTAGGATCAGGAAGACTCAAGTTTAACTCAAACATTAGTTATGGGACCCTGGGCAAGTCACTTAACCTCTGTTGGACTCAGTTTCTTCATTTGTAAAATGGAGGCAATAATAGCACCTGCCTCCTATTGTTGTTAGGAGGATCAAGTTACATTATATGTAAAATGCTTTGCAAAAAAACCTTAGACTGCTATGTAAATGCTATTAATTTTTATTTTCATTAGTAGAAGTAAAGCTTATCCGTCCTGTATTTCACTCCCTAAAGCTTTCCTGAATGATACCTCAGTAATCTGATGCAGGGATGTAACTTGAGGTGCTAACGAGAGAGAGGTAAAGGAAAGAGCTGCCATCCTGATATAGAGGCCAGTGTCCCTCCTGTTTTACCCCCAGACTAACCAGAAGGGGGAATATCAACATGCAGGCCAGCAAGAGAGGTGTGTTTGCATAGCGAGTGCCTCAGGGTTTGCTCCAAGCGTACCACAATGATGGCATCTTGCATCTCCTAGGCCAAGCCCTGGGTGAAGGAAATGATGCTCAGGCTTTCTCGGAAGCATTTTTCTCTGGTTTTTATAAATGACAGATTTCTAGTGACTAAGCCAATGTTGACTTAAATACTCATTCTCCCTACCAATGATGGAGAACCAAGTGTTCCTGTATGTGTTATCCTAGTATATGCATTAACTTCTGTAACTTTTGTACTGCCTTAAAATGAGGGGAGTAAAGGGAGGGAAGTGATAATTGCAGGGTTTGTGGTGTTCTAGGTTTTAACATATGTGCTTATAGAGCATTGGATCATAATTTTTTTTAAAAAAAGTCTCTCTTTGTCAAAGTAATAAAGAACATTATAATTAGTGTTTGACGTTTCTAGTACTAGAAAGTCTTGCATTTGCACAATGGAAAGCTGTCCAAGAGTTGTACTGTTTTCTCTTCCATCATCTCTTTCCCCTGATGGTCAATATAGGAGGGCTCCTTTAAAAAAAAAATAGTGATATATGTAGGCAATGAGTAAGTTAAATACCCAACTCTGATGTTTGTATTTGTGTGCGACAGCCAAGTGCCTCAGGACAAGGCTCCAGTAGAGGTGTCCACAAGGATGCATGCAGCTACAGAAGACAATGATTCAAAAATTTAAAAATGTTAGTAGATTTGATACTGTAAACATTCTAATAGCAGAGGTAGAGGGCCAGTGTTTAATCCTGCGTCTAGTGATCTGTATGACCTGGGCAAGCCAGTTTATCTTGCTGGGCCCAGAAAAGAGCCTAAGAATTTTGTAGATAAGGAATGGGACCTTTCCAGGTCTAGGCCTGTCTGCTACTCAGACTTACTCTTGTTGTCTTCCCTACGAAGGTGGTCAGACGGTGAGTACAACTGATTCCTCAGCCAGTAACAGGGAGAGTGTCAAATCTGAAGATGGTGATGATGAAGAGCCTCCCTATCGAGGGCCTTTCTGTGGGCGAGCAAGGGTTCACACTGACTTTACACCTAGTCCTTATGATACAGACTCCCTCAAGCTCAAGGTATAGCCTGCCATTTTGTTCCTATAACGTGCATTTTGTTGGCTTGCTTTTGCAAATGTTTAAAAGAATTCTTTCCCTTCTTTGCTTTTTCATGCCTAAAACATTACTGAACTGGTCTCTCCTACAGTAAGAAATGGAACAAAGTCTAGCTAGATTTAAGAGGCTGGAGCTGCTATATTCACTCTACTCTTGCCATCTGCTAACTTGGGTTTCTCTCTAGAACAGGAGTTCTTCAACATTCATTTTTGTAAGATTTTGAGCGCCAAATTTTTCCCCTTCCCTCCCTTTCCCCCAAGACAGCAAGCAGTCTGACATATGTTTAACGTGATTATGCATATATAACCTGTTTCCACATTAGTCATGTTATGAAAGAAGAATCCAAAAGAAAAGGAAAAAAAAAACACAAGAAAGAAAGAACAAAAAACAAAGTGAAAATAGTATGCTGTGATCTGCATTCAGATAGTTCTTTCTCTGGATATGGATAGCATTTTCTATCACGAGTGTTTTGAAATTGTCTTGGATCATTGTATTGCTGAGAAGAGCTAAGTCTATCCTAGTTGATCGTTGCACAGTGTTGCCATTACTGTGTACAATATTCTCTTGGTTTTGCTCACTTCACTTAGCATCAGTAGAACAGGAATTCTTAAACATAGGTCTTTTAACTAGTTTGATAAATAATTATTTCAATATAATTCATTTCTTTTGTAATCCATTATGTTTTTATGCATTTAAAAACATTCTGAGAAGTGTCCCACTTCACCAGACTTCAAAAGGGGTTTGTGATACAAGAAAGGTTAAGAATTTGGAATTTTCATTTTCCATCTTGAGGCTCTGTTCAGTATATGCAAGCCTTAGTTGCCAATTTAGTTTTTACAGCGACTGAATTGTATAGGCAAGAGGAGGACAAGAAATCTTTTTTTTTTCAAATGAGATTTTAGGAGCTTTTTAAATGATGGGGAAGAAAATTGGAAGGCTTTGAGATAATGAATTTACTCTCCTATGAGCTACAGCATCAGGGTCAATCACTTGGTGCTTTCTGCGCTGGGATGTGGCCTGGTATATGAAGGAGGGAGAACATGGCAGAGTTCTATAATTCACTCCGAAGCTTCCATTAAAAGCACCGAAGGACCCAAATTGACTGACACATGCAGGAGTAGAGCCAAACACATGCAGATGTGCCCAGCTCTGTGCTACAAGTTAGGCTGAGAAAGCATAACCCAGCAAGTTTAATGGCTGAGCCCTAGTTACAGCAATCATAGCATTTCCAGTTAATTATTATGACATCTGAATGAATTATGCACAGAAATGTACTTAATGAAAAGATTCTAATGGAAAGTTCTCTGCTTCACAGAAAGGTGATATTATTGATATAATCAGCAAGCCTCCAATGGGTACCTGGATGGGATTGTTGAACAACAAAGTTGGTACTTTCAAATTTATCTATGTGGATGTGTTAAATGAAGAGGAAGAGAAACCCAAGCGCCCCACTAGGAGAAGGAGAAAAGGAAGACCACCACAGCCCAAATCTGTAGAAGATCTGCTTGACAGGATCAACCTAAAAGTCAGTTACTTCTCTTATCTGACATCACTTAGTTTTAGGGTAAATAAGGAATGTAGGGGCAGTTTCACAGAGGGGTTAGTTTAACTGATCTGGTTTAAGCACCTTTATAAGTAGCCAGTGTCAGGGATGTAGATAATATTGCAGTGCTGTTCATTGTTACTTAAATAATACAAGACATAACCTGGTAGAGTGGATAGAGGGCTGTCCTCAGAGTGAGGACAATCTGGATTCAAGTCCTGACTCTCCTGCCTCTGATACATTGTCTGAATAAGTTACTAAACTTCTTGGTACAATACCCTAAGTCAGAGGTGTCAGACATCAAAAATGTGGCCCACAACATTCCTGAGTGGGCTCAAACCAAACTAAAATGTAATTGGGAAATATTTAACAAAATAATTTAAAATACGGTACAATGTAAATCATATTACATTTTCAAATTAAGTCAATTTGTGGCAGCCCCAAGGGATCCTTATGTACGGATTAGTGGGCCCCATTTCTATTTGAGTTTGACATCACTGTCCTAAGCAGCTCTCTAAGATTAGAAATCACCCAAAAAAATTGCTAATCTGTATTGGGTAGGGGGGATTTCTTCATGGGCAGCTTTCTACAGTGATAGAATTAGAGGTCTGGACCCTCTCCTCCCCCAACTCACCAAAAAAACCCAAAAAACCCCAAAAAAACAAAAAACACTAAACCAATTACAGCTAGATCCTGATTTATGGGAATAATTAATAGTGTGAAGTGGTCATATGTATTTGAATTCAAACTATTAAAAGTTATAATTCTATAAAATATATTAATTGGTTCTTGCTTAATGGAAATATGCAGTGAAAATTCAGATATCACAAGTGGTTCACAAGGATTCCCTGTTCCTACTGTTTAGTGGAGCCTAGATGTATTTAATTGTCTAACACCCAGTGACTGAAGATAATTGATGAGTATGTCGGGGGTGACCCCATGTGAATTGGCAACCAATGCTGCATTAAAATGTGGTCACATGATCTAGGAGACTTCTTGTTTGAGATGCTCAGGCATAGGGAGAGACATTACGGTGCCAAAGTGGTCCTTTCCTGCTGCTGAAAAGTCAGTTCCTGAGCCAACAGGTTCCTCAATGGATCGTGAGGATAGCCACCTATTAGAAAAGCTATGTTTCCATTTCCTGGTACAAAGTTTCCAGCTGTCAATTCCTGCAAAAATCCAAAGGAGTTCCCTTTTCCCCCAGGGTACTAATGACTCTGTGCTATGATATACCAAAGTCAACAACTCATTTCCAATAACACATTTATAGATCCCTCTGGGAGGGACCAATCATCACATACAGTGTACCTATTCTGTTGTTAAATGAAAATATCATGTGTGAGAAATGTCTTACAAATTCGCTATTCTTGAGATAGAGAGGATTGGCTCTGAATCATAACCCAAGTTTGAGAACTCAGACTAGTTTTTAAGTTTATAGATTGTATGTGGCCTAGTGAACCACATTGTATACAGTAGGCACTTACTAATGGTTCAGTTATATAAAAGTTTTCTTTCCGTGGTAGGAACACATGCCCACCTTTCTGTTTAATGGCTATGAGGACCTGGACACCTTCAAGCTTCTGGAAGAAGAAGACTTGGATGAGCTAAACATCAGGGACCCAGAGCACAGAGCTGTGCTCTTGACAGCAGTGGAATTGTTACAAGAATATGACAGTAAGTGGTGTGCATGTGTTGGTGCTGATTATTTCTGGAGGCCTTCAGAATGAGAGGGAGCAAATAATTCAGTGAAAATAATTTTTAAATGTTCACCCCATGACTATTTTCCTAAGTTGGTATAAAAATAAGCTATGTTTTGAGTAAAATACAGGCCTGCCCTAAATTAGATCAACAACATGGTGCGGTACAAAGTGCCTTGGATTAGGAGTCAGAAGGTCAAGGTCTGCCACATTAGGTATATGACTAGATTCAATTCATTTTACCTCTGAGTGAAACCTACACAATAAGAAAGCTGGACTAGGTCATCTACAAGAGCCCTTCCAGCCCTGACCCTTCTTTGGCTCTGTGAGCCCTGAAGTCTCTTTTATCCTATTGTTTTCATAGTCAATATTTCTATTAATAAATGGGGGAAGACTACATAAGCTCTGCAACCAACCCTTATTAAGCACTGCTGTGTCCAGCTGCTAGTCCCTGTCCTAGCTTCTACTGCTACAAAGCAGAACAGACAAACTAAACACCAACTCAGTGATCCCCGACTTCACATTCTATTAGGGGAATACAACATATACCTAGATAAGTAAATACAGAGGGCTTTCTTTACAAAATTGATTTCAGGAGGAGGAGAGTGATAAGAACTGGTGTAAGGCAGCTGGGTAGCACAGTAGAGTGTTGGACTTGGAGTCGGGAAATCCCCATTTCAAATCCAGCCTCAGACACTCACTAGCTCTGTTTTCCTGGGCAAGTCACTTGACCTCTGCTCAAATTTCCTCATCCCTAAAATGAGAATAATAATAGTAAGTACCTACTATGTAGACCTTAAAGTGCTATAGAAGTGCTAGTTATTGTTGTTGTTGCTGCTGTATCAGGAAGGATTTTATGTAGGAAATGCTTAGAAGGAAGCCAGGTACTCGGAGGGGAAGAGGTGAGAAGAAAAAGCATTCTAGAGTTGGAAAATGGTATATGGGGAAGACTTAGCAGCACATTTTAACAGAGAGGCAAGGGGCGATGAGGGGAGAGAGAGAGGGAAAGAGAGGAGAGAGAAGAGAGGGCCTTGAGGTAGCCATGAAAGATTTTTGAGTAGAAGAGAAAGGGTAGTGCTCTCAACAGAAACAGGAAAGTTTTGGGAAGAAGGATGAGTTATGCTTTAGACATGCTGAATTTGCTGCATAATTGGGCCATCCATGTAATGAAGGAATGGCAGTCAAGATTTGAGAATTGGCTTCACTGACACTTGAATTCACAGAAATTGATAAGACATTTGGTTCAACAGACATTTTATTCATCAGGTCACTGGATAGTGTCACTGACAAAAATAGTGGTCCCCAGGAAGGAAAGACAAGTCAAATATGAAATTCTGTTTTGGACGTGCTGAATTTGAAGTGCCAGTGAGACATCCAGGCTGAGATGTGTAGCAAGCAGAAGAGCATCTGGGTCTAGTGCTTGGAAGAGAGGCCAGGGTTGGAGATGCAGATTTAGTAGTCAACTAAGTGGATGTAATTCAGTGGTATCAAACTCAAATAGAAACAGAGGCCACTAAACCATATGTTAGGATCCCTGTGGGATGCATATTGCCTTAGAAAAACTATAATTTACTATTATCCATGGTTTAGTGTATTTTTAGTTACTTTGTTAAATATTTCCCAATTACATTTTGATCTGGTTTGAGCCTCATGCAGTCTGTGTGTTTGACACCACTATTGATGTTGTTGTAGGTCTAGGAGTGAATGAAAATGCCAAGGGAGAAATTGCAGTGAGAGGAAAAATAAATTAAGGACTGCACCTCAGGGAATGCCCAACTCAAGGAATTACTAATATCAAGGCAAGGGACCATGAAGGACAGAAGTGGTTAAAAATAAGGGTGAGCACAGATTGGCTCGTCTCTGAAGTCAAGGGGAAAGAGTATCTTGAAGGAGAAGCTAGTCAACAAAAGGTCAAAGAGGCCACTGGATTTTGTAATTAGAATAAATTAACCAACAAGTATTTTTTAAGCACCTGCTCTGTGTCAGACTCTGTACTAGGCCCTAGAGATACAAATACGTATTTATGGAGTAGCCAAATAGAAGATAGTTTGGGAGGGAGGGCACCAAGCTTCATGCGGAAGATGATGCTTGAGCTGTGTGTCTTAACAGGAGAGGACTCTGTGAGGCCATAGGTCAAGAGGGAATGCCACTAAGGCACAGAGGTGGGATGTTGTGTGGGAGAAACAGGGAGAAGGAAGGTTTGGCTAGATCTCAGAACAGGAGAGGAAGATATATCCAATAAGTTGGAAGGTTAAGTTGAGGCTAGATTGGATAGGGATTTAAAGCCTGTCCAGAGGAGGTCATATTTTATCCTAGAACCGATGGGAAGCCACTGGAGTAAGGGAGTCACTTGGCCAGGTCCACTTTTCAAAAACTTGCTTTGGCAATAGCAGGTAGGGTGTCCTAGTGTGGAAAGACACAAGGCAAGGAGATCAGTTTGTAGACTGTTAGAAAAGTCTAGGTGGTTGGGGCAGCTAGGTGGTACAGTGGATAGAGCACCGGCCCTGGATTCAGGAGGATCTGAGTTCAAATGTGGCCTCAGATACATAGCTGTGTGACCCTGGGTAAGTCACTTAACCCCGGGTTGCCTAGCCAAAAACAAAACAAACAAACAAACGAAAAGTCTAGTTTGAAAGGTTTTGAGACTCTAAACTAAGTAGGTGGCTTTCTAAGTAGAGAGAGAAGGTTCAGATGCAAAAGAGGTTGGGTGGCAAGCTTTTGCAGCTGATTCGATATGTGTTGGGGAGGAGAGAGGAGTCGAGGATAATGCTGAGATTATGAACCTGAGTCATTAGAGAGATGGTAGTGGCTTCAATAGAAATAGGGAAGTTTAAAATAAAAGGTTTGTGTAGAAAGATTTTTTTAGTTTTAGATATGTTTTATACTTATATTTAAATTTTTCAAGTAGTGGCAGTGAAAGGGGAAGAGAGACATGACGTAGAAGGATCTAAGGAATGTTGTTTTTAGCATTATGAAGACCCCAGCATGTTTGTGAACAGATGGAAAGGAGACAGTGAAAAGAGAGAGATTAGAGATCATGGAGGCAAAAGGATGACATCGAAAGTACGGGTAGCGGAGAACTCTCTCTAAAGGATTAGCACAGACACTCAACCGTTTTTTTTTTAATGAACCCCCAGGGTAGCTGTACTTGGTCTTCTGCTACATAAGGGGAGGACGACAGAATATATGGTAGCGTTGATAATCTTTGAGGAGAGCTGAATGATGGAGAAGGCCAAAGTCCTCTGTTGTCAGTCTTTAGGGGTAGAGATATAGCTGTGGACTTGCAGAAAGAGGGAGTAATCATTAGCAGAAGAGAACCCAAGCACTATCAATATATAGTAGGTAAAACCAACATCTCGTTCTGGCAGGTTGGAAGACACTTTGTTCAGTCATTTTCGGTCATGTTGGACTTTTCATTTTAGGTTTTCTTAACAAAGATACTGGAGTGATTTGCCATTTTCTTCTCCAGCTCATTTTACAGATGAGGAAACCGAGACAAACAGGGTTGAGTGACTTGCCCAGGGTCACACAGCCAGAAAGTGTCGAGGCCAGATTTGAACACAGGAAGATGAGTCTTTCTGATTTCAGGCCCAGCAGTCTATTCACTGTGCCACCTAGTTGACCCAACAACACTCTACCCTAAAAAATAAATAAATAATAGTATTTATATGATGCTTTAAGGTTTGAAAAGCACATTATAAATATCTCATTTTGTCCCCACAATTACCCTGGGAAGGAGGTGCTGTTGTTATCTCTGCTTCACAGATGAGGAAACTGAGGCAGACAGAGGTTAAGTGACTTACCCATGCCCTTACAGCTACTAAGTGTCTGAAGCTAGATTTTAAACTTCGATCTTCCAGACCCCAAATTCAGTGGTACTATACCATGTAGAAGCTTATATAAACATACTAAGAGAAGTGAGTTGTTACCTATATGGTAATTTAAGAGGTTGAAAGTGGGGAGACTTGCAGTTAAGGTCCAAGAATCACCAAAGGTAACATTCCCTGGTGATTGTCTGTCCTATATAATCATCTGAGACCCAGCTTCCTAGTCTGAGGCTGGCTCTATTGGTCACCTACTCCCCAGCACATGCACATGGCCAGCCCTGTCTATGGAAAAGGCACCATTCATCAACTCTTCTACACCATTCTCTTCTCTCTGCCCTATTATCCCCTTCCCACCTACCACTTCTCTGCCACCTCTCTGACATCTAAGACTCATAGGCTGCACAAGCCTTTTTTGGTGCTATGAATCATACATAAACAACTATCGCCGTATGATCGATTCCTTCCCCATAATCATTAGTACCTCTGTTAGGGTACTTAGCATATTTTGACTTATTTTGTAGTTATTTGCATACTTGTTTTAGGCCTCACACCATATTTGTTAGCCTCTTAAAGGTAAGGATAACATCTTCTTATCTTTGTATATCCATAGGGGTAGGGGTATGGAATACCATTCCATTTCACCTATCTATCCCTCGCTTATTAAAATTTCCTCCATCACTCACCTCACGGCCTCAGTGCATTGCACATAGTAGACTATGCATATATGTTTGCTGAATTGAAGGAAGATAAATACCCAAAGTAAAGATAAGTAAGGAATTCTGTATTGATTTATGAACTTGTAACCAAAAAACGATAGTTTATTTTTACAGACTATAAACTGAATTCATTCAACTCAATGTTGTGTGTGTATATTCACACACACTCACTGTTTAGTAAGCTCACTTATCCCTTCTCCATTTTCCCAGGCTTAAGTCATCTTACATTAGGTCTTATCCTATAAGACATCATCTAAAATATTCCCAAAATTGCTCAATTGCTAAAATAGAATCCCTTTTGTTATTGAATTTAAATGCTTTTTTTCTTCAATCCTTCTGCTCCAGTGGGATGAAATTTTCCAGGCAGCATGTTCACTGCCAACAGCAGACATGCCAAAACACAGAGTTCGGCTAATGGTCGGAGGATTATTAGA